GTCGAGGATTCACACAGGCAGCTGCTATCACAGGGCCCTGGGCTGGAACCTGGAGTAGAGGGTGGGCCTGGGTTTCCCCCAACACCCACCTTCCCATTTCCACTCGGGGAAAAGGACTGCAGAGTTTATTCTCCATTTTACCATATGCTGGCCAATGATGAAAACAGCTCAACAAACAGCAAACTAAAGCTCTAGGCCTGGTGCCTAAAACTGTGGGCTGCAGTGAGCCTCTGAGTCAAGCAAATTCTCCAGGAAGTGCAGGACCCACTGATTTTTCATGCTTGTTCAGGCTCTTGCTGTCTCCTGTCTTCACTATTGCAGCTGCCTCCTCTCTGGCCTTTGTGCTCCACCTTGTCCCCTTTGGGTCCATTCAGATACCTGCTTATTCATCACTCTGACCATGTCCTTCACCTCTTTGAATCCCTCTGCTGGCTCCTCCTTCTCCACGGCCCTTTTCCGCCCTTACCTTTAGACTCTTTACAATACAGTTCCCTTTCTGCTTACTGCTGCTGTCTCTTATTTCTGTCACCTCATCTAGTCTGTTGTGCCAGGCTTGTCAACTGCAGCCACCCATTTCTCCCACAGGTATGTCCTCTCTCATCCACACAGCCACTTACACATGGAACATCCACCCAAAACTAGTCCATAAAGCCACTATCCCATCTTCTGTTAAATCACCCCTCACAACACACTTCTGATGCAAAGCTTGTGATAAATTGCCATCTAATAATGGCTATGTAGAGGGTTGCTAGGTATGACTGATGTCCTTAATATTTCCTGTTCATTTGTATTGTAAAATCCAAAAGCTGACTCAGTGCTTGCTTACTGAGTACATAGGTAGCCTGTGTAAACACATTCATTGGGCACTGTTAGCCTTGTTTGCCCCCTCCCCCCAAAATGTGTTTGTTACATTCAGAGTTCCCTGTAAGCTGAGCGCTTGGGCAGCCACCCAGGAGAGGTTCAAATGCTGCCCAGCTGATTAGCAGAGCGCCCACAGCATGTGTTTCTACTGGTGGTGCACATCCACACAAGCCTCGGTGTACATAACACAATTTATTCTGCACATAGATGTTAAAATTAGAGAGAACACTGGTTACATCCTAATGTCGTGCCTTGCCTTCAATCGGACTGTAAACTCTTTGGGATAGGGACCACAGACACTCACTCTTTTTTCCTGTGGCTGCTTTCTGTCTGCCCTTTGTGTACGTGCTCCTGCCACCTACTGGCTCATAGGTGCTGCTGACCACCCGTCTTTTTTGGTATTTGCTTGAACCCCTGAGCATCCACTGTGCCAGAACCTAAGGTACAGACTGTCTCCTGCATATTACAGTGGGGTCCTAATCTAAGTTCCCTGTAGGCTGTGCAGCTGTTTTCTGAGCTCCACTCAGAAGTTCAAAGCTCCTGCGCAGGCAGGGAGCTCAGCTGACCGGCAGGGGGCGGGGTGTGATCTTGCTAAGCAAGTAGTTAAATGGAGCTGCTCCCTGTTTGAAACAGAGCAGCTCCCAGAGCAGGTAAAGATGCATATTACAGTGGGGTCCTAATCTAAGTTCCCTGTAGGCTGTGCAGCTGTTTTCTGAGCTCCACTCAGAAGTTCAAAGCTCCTGCGCAGGCAGGGAGCTCAGCTGACCGGCAGGGGGCGGGGTGTGATCTTGCTAAGCAAGTAGTTAAATGGAGCTGCTCCCTGTTTGAAACAGAGCAGCTCCCAGAGCAGGTAAAGAGAGTTACGAAGACAATAAATGGCTGGGGGCAAGGGGAGGAGGGGGAGAGAAAATAAGTAAGAAATTGGAAATTTGGAGAGTCCAATCTGTGAGAGGAGAGAGAGGCAGAAACTCAGCATTCTCAAGCCTCCTGGGAAGGGGAAAATAAGGTGCTGACTGCATGGCGTATGTAGGGGAAAGAAGGGATGGATGAGTGCCAGAATTAGAGTGAGGTAAAGGCACGGGGGAGTTTGTGCTGTGAGGTGGGGGGAGCGGTGGATAATTTGTTTGTGCTTTAGCTGGGAGTTAAGACAGGACAGACCGTTTGTGCCTACTAGTTTGAGAAGCAGGATTTTATCTTGGCCACCACCTGGGCTGTGGGGAGCAAATTGCACAGGATTAGGTGGGGAAAGAGGGTGGGTCGGTGCTGGCATCTATGCAGTGAGGTGGAGGTGATGGGGAGTTTATTTGGGGTGTCCCTGACTCATTTGCTGCAGTCCTCTCAGGGGGCGGAGGGAGCAGGCTGCATGGGGTGGGTGTGTGCCAGGACATTTGCATGATTACATTTCAAACAAAATTCACATAGGTGTTAACTGCTTAAGGTAAGAGAGAAAAATATTCTTTTAACAGAATGTTTTTGGAGTGTTGCAGATATCTAAAACTGATCTTAATGATTTTTCTAAATCCCATGTTACATTTTACCATGTTTCAATTAGTATAGCATTAAGGCCAGCTCTTTGCTATGTGGTAGAGTTCTGGCTCTTATGAGTCAGAAGAAGTAAGTACTAGGTGTGATGCTAGCTGTTTTGTAGGATGAAACCTTATTTGCAAGCTCCTTGAAACATGCATCTCTCTGCAAACGCTGAAGCCATGTGTTAATTTGTTCTGGAGTTCCTACCCTTTGAGTTGGTGACACATACAAGGTGAAAGTTTCAGACCAGGAGAACTTTTATCTGTTTTTAAAGGTCTGTGTTTCACTTGTTCCTCTATGTGTTAGTAGGAACACTGCTCCTAATCCTGACTGGAACCTTTGACCACTGCTGTAGTACTATGCATAATAATGTTATGAGCTTACCCATGATATTGGAATCCCTTGATTTCATGATATTTTGATTACAGTTCCCTTCTCTTGTCTATTTTTCTCCCACCCCCCCCCTCCCCCAAGGGACAAACACATGTCTGATGTTCCTTCAGATCTGTCTAAGGATGCAGAAGCAGCAGGCCTCCGAAGGAGACCATCAAGACCATTGGAGCTAGACAGTGAGGGGGAAGAAGGAGATGAGACTTCAGGTAAAGAAGAAGAATCCTGTTCTGAAAAGGAAGATGAGCAGGACGAAGGGGGAGCATTGGTGAAAGCAGCACCTGGCAAGGTATTTCCATCCACCCTTCCCCCAATGCGTCACATAATTAAATTGTGAAACTCTAATCACTGGACTACACTTATGAATAAGTGTAGGTAGAGAAGCTTAGATAAAATTATATTGGCTACTTTTCCAGGTATTTGATGACATAATTTTCTCACCAGCTCAAACCAAATTCTTTTTCCGGTCCCTATTGTATAATATTACAAACTTAGTGTCTTAGGGTATGTCTACACTACAAAGTTAATTCGAACTAACAGACGTTAGTTCGACTTAACTTTGCTAGGCGCTACACACGCGAACCGCTAGTTGGAACTTAATTGGAACTAGCGGAGCGCTTAATTCGAACTAGGTAAACCTCATTCTACGAGGACTAACGCCTAGTTCGAATTAAGTAGTTTGAATTAAGGGCTGTGTAGCCACTAGCCTGCCCCTCCCCAGCTTGCCCTGGTGGCCACTCTGGGCACCACCAGGGAAACTCGTCTGCCCCCCTCCCGGCCCCGGAGCCCTTAAAGGGCCATGGTCTGGCTACAGTGCCCGTGCCAGGTGCAAGCCTGCCAGCACCCAGCCAGCAGACCCTGCACCTGGCACGGGATGAGCCAGCCACCCGCTGCCACCC